TGTGCCACTATGCTTGGCTTTTATATGGGTGCTAGGAACTGAACCATCTTCCAAGTCCCCAAAATTTACCATTGTAACCATTTCTTTTAGAATGCTGGAGACCCACCATTTTAAACACACAATTTTGAGGTATCACAAACAGAAACGTTAAGACTCTTTCTAGAATGTCACTCAAAACAGAAACTCTGTACCCATAAGCAATAACTCCTTACCTCCCTCTCCAGCCGCCCCTAAAACCATTAGTCTACTTTGTCTGACATAACCCAGCTTAGATACATATAGTCATATAGTATTTTTTTTCTTTTTTTTCCTCTTCGTGTTTTTGAGATAGGGTTTCTCTGTGTGGCTCTGGCTGTCCTGGAATTCACTCTGTATACCAGGCTGTCCTCAAACTCAAAGAAATCTGCCTGCCTCTGCCTCCTGAGCACTGGGATTAAAGGTGTGTGCCACCACTGCCAGCTAAGTATTTTTCCTTGTGTATCTTATATTTCGATTCATGTGCTCTGTTTGTCCATGGATTGTAGTATGGTTGATAATACTCTATGGGATGAACTCATAACATTTTGTTTATTCATCTTGAATTCAGGTAGATGGCTTCCATGTTTGTAATGATGGCATAAGAACACTCACAGGCTAGTACCTGTTTCAGTCCCTATTCTCAGGCATTCTGAGGATATACACACAAGTGGAATTAATTGCCAAGCTATGCTAGGACTCTCATCTGAGGAACTCATCTGAGGAACTGCTAAGCTGATTTTCACAAATGGTTATACTGTTTTACATTACCACCCATGTTAGGCTTTTTGTCACCGTGAATAAAACCTGGGAGAAATTATTCAAAGGGAAAAATCTGCCTTTAATCTTAGCACTTGAGAGACAGAGGCAAGCAGATCTCTATGAGTTCCAGACCAGCCGGGGATACAAAATGAGACACTATCTCAAAGTAAAAAAGCAGGGAACTTATTTTTGGCTCATAATTTTAGAGGCTTTAGTCTATGACCTTCTAATTCCATGGTTTTTAGACCCAGGGCAAAGCAGAAACATCAAAGCACCAGGAAATGGGAGAAGAAAGCTGTTCCCTTTAGCCAGGAAGCAAAGCGTCACAAGAGTCAGTGGGAAGAGGGAGGCATCAGAGACATGTCCCCTATGACCCACTGCCTCCATGTAGACCCTATCTTTCACAGTGCCTCCACTTGCCAACAGTCAGTCACGTTTTGGCTCCAGTCACCTGGAGAAACACCACCAGAGGCAAACCCAGATGCATGCTTTCCCAGTCTAGGAATCTCTCAGTCCAAGGAAGCTGACAGAGCAACCATCAGAGCAAAGCCCAGTGGTGCACTATTAAGGAGGTTGAGGCAGGAGGATGACAAATTGAATAAGAACAGTTTAGACAACACATAAGCTATGACTGACTATCACAACCAGCTTTGTAACTCTCCAAACCCTCAACACGTCATTTTTGCTTAATTGCGTCTCCTGAATTGATGCAATGTGTAACTTCGTTGTAGCTTTGAACTGAATTTTCCTAATGATGGAGGATGATGACCAATTATTTTTTCTGGCCATTTGCAAACAAATCTGGTATTAATGACCTGTAAATACTTCCTCCCTTTGTAAAGAAATGGTTTATAAAATGACATTACCACCTGCTTCTCTCCCTCCTCCCCCACTCCCTTGCCCTTGCCCATTCTCTTTCTCCTCTTGCTTCGCCTTCTGTGGACTGGTAAAACATAGATTACCATCGTCTTTACCATCTTCTAAGATGATAAAAATGTTCTAAAATTACACAACTATGAATATTATAAAAACCCACGGAATTGCCGGAATGCTGGTGCATGTCTTTAATCCCAGTGCTTGGAAGGAAGAGGCAGTTCTACAGACTGAGTTCCAGAACAGCCAGAACTGTTTCACAGAGAAACCCTGTCTTGAAAAAAAAAAAACAAACCAAAACAACAAAAATCAATAAATCAGTGGAACTGGGTTTCCCCTCCATAGAACAAGCCTTGATTTTTATTACTTTTAAAAGCTTCTGCCAGGCAGTGGTGATGCACGCCTTTAATCCCAGCACTCAGGAGGCAGAGAGGCAGGAGGAGCTCTGTGAGTTTGAGGCCAGTCTATAGAGCAAGTTCCAGGACAGGCTCCAAAGCTACAGAGAGACCCTGTCTCAAAAAACAAAACAAAACAAAAAAGCCTCATACTTATTTCATTTTCAGACTCTGCTTGTGCCTTCAGCACTCATGATCTTCTGCTCCTCTGTAAGGAAAGCACGCTTATTCCTGTCACACATACAGCACACACAGAAGGAGCATTGAGCTTGCTGATGTGTTAGACAATCTCATACAAACTTAAGTTTCACACCACAAACACCTCAAAGTCTGCCTGGCTACATACAACATGGTGGATTCTGGTGCTCTCCCAACCTTCATGGTATAAAGGTAAATACTCCTATCACTGGGTTGGAGACAGCCCAATTTTGTTAGAGGCTGTATAGGAAGGAAGCTGATGACGGTATGTTAACACTGACCATTTGAAAAGCCTCTAAAAAATTTACTGTGAGCAGGGGAAGAATAGTAGAAAGGATATGTGATAGGTAGGGTTTTAGTGGGGGGGGGTAGGGAAGGACAGGAGGGAGAGGGAACTTTGATTGTCATGTAAAACAATCTTGTTTCTAATTCAAATAAAAAATGATTTAAAAAATCGTAAAAGAAAAAAATTAGTGTGAGCTCTACAGCATGCATGTGGAACTCAGAGGGCAGCTTTGCAGGGGTCAGCCTCTCCTTCCACCATGATCTCCTTCCTCAGGGTCATCCAGAGCAAACGCCTTAACCCACTGAGCCAACTGTGGTGGCATGAGTGGGCCCAGAGGCTCATGTTTTCAAATACCTGATCTGAGTTGTTAGAACTGTTTGAGAAAGAATAAATGATATGCCACAGGGTGGGCTTGGGGTTTCAAAAGCCTTCCACCATCCTCAGTGTACTCTCTGCTTTCTGTGTGAGCTCTCAACTGCTGCCCCCATGCCACGCTTGCCTACCTAATGCCATTCCCTCTGCCGTGATGGTGATGGAACCCTGTCCCTCTGGAACTGTAAGCCCCCAAAAAACTCTGCCTTTCATAAGTTGCCTTGGCCATGCTGCTTTATCACAGCAATAGAAAAGTAACTAATATACCAGCCCTGAATTGGACACTAAATGTGTGGGTCATATGCTAGGTAAGCTGTTCTTAAGGGTTAAAAATGAGACTAGGGCTGCAGTGTAGTTCAATGGTAGAACACTGGAAGCCAGGGATTCCATTCCCAATGATAACAACGCACACAGTTTTGCACACACAAAGAATTTGGTAATGGACAATGGTAACACACACCTTTAATCCCAGCACTCAGAAGGCAGAGGCAAGCGGATCTCTGAGTTCGAGGCTAGCCAAAGCTACAAAGAGAAACCCTATCTCAAAATGGGGCTGGAGAGATAGCTCAGTGGTTGGGAACACTGGCTGCTCTTCCAGAGGACCTGGGTTCAATTCACAGCCCCCACATGGCAGCTCACAACTGTCTAAAACTCCAGTTCCAAGGGATCCAACATCCTCATACTGGCAAACCAATGCACATAAAATAAATAAATAAATCATTTCTTTAAAAAAAGAAGAGACACTTTCTAAAACCTTGACATTACAATTCGAAGTTTATTTTGAGCTTTTGATGGGTGCACAGCACTCACTGTAGAAATCTCAGAGGATCCATCTCTCAGCTACAAAGAAGCCTGAGATATAAAGATCTGCTTGTTTGCAAGTCGCTCAGAGTAAACTCTGAGAATCTGTGACTCTCTTATGTAAATCATCTGAACAGTCCAAATACTCAGAGTATTGAAGCTGAAAGATCACTTGAGTCCAGGAGTTCCAGAACAGCCTGAACAACATTAAAAAAAAAAAAAAAAAGGGAAGGGACACCAGATGGTGGTGGCACACACCTGTGATTCCAGCACTTGGGAGGCAGAAACAGGTGGATATCTAAGTTCAAGGCCAGACTGATCTACAGAGTGAGTTCCAGGACAACCAAGGCTACACAGAGAAACCCTGTCTCAAAATACAAAAATAAATTTTTTTTTAAAAAGGCAAAACTATGAAGACAGCGGAAAAAGATGGTGATTTGATGCTAGACAGATGAACGGTGCCCACCACAGACCTGACTTCATATCTTCAGCACTCACAGAAAAAGCCAGGCACAGCGGTGCACTCCTACAGAACCAAAGCTGGGGGAAGGATGCCTGGAGCTTCAAACTCTGAAGTTCCAGACTCAGTGAGAAACCCTGCACCAGTAATAATAAAATGTAGAGGTGATGGAGGAAGACCTCCAGTGTTCACTTCTGGCCTCCATACACATATGCACAGACCAAAATCAATCCATACATACAGTGCCTTCATGTATGCAGACACACACACACACACACACACACACACACACACACACACACACACACACACACCAGTGATTGTCAGGAGTTTAGGAAAGGAAAGGATGAATAGACAGAACACAGAATGTCCCCCCTTGAGACAGGGTCTCATGTAGCCGAGGCTGGCCTTACAATGACTATATAAGCAGAGATGACCTTGAATTTCATCTGATCCTTCTGCCTCCATCTCCCAAGTGCTGTGACTGCAAGCTGCATCTCTAAGCTCTATAAGTGATTTTTAACAATACACATTTAGTGAACCCTGCTTTGCAATAGGATTCCAAGGCTACCCCCTTAGATGCTTCCTTTAGGCTGGGCCTGGGTTTGGCCAATCGTTGTTTTCTACCATTGCAAATACTAATTACATGTGAAGTTCTGGGAGTGAAAAGAATATCATGAACTTCTGCCCTTGAGCACACTATCACAGTGCTTGCGAGAGGCAGGACCCCAGCACTGGAACAGAACCCAGGGGTCCAGGTCACAGTGCCTGTGAGAGGCAAGACCCCAGCACTGGAAGAGAACCCACGGGTCAGGGTTGGAAAGCTGCAGACACTCACCAGGGGAAGCCAGGACAATGGAACTTGTGTGCACTGTTTGCTGTCAAGTACGAGAAATGGAAGCCTCCGGGGTTGAGGACCAAGGGGGTCAGATCGACCATGTGGCTGTAAGATAGGGAAGAAATAAGCTGTTGGCGCTGAGCCCATCCACAGCATCGGCATGCTTATGTGTAGCATAGGTCCAAGGGTCCCATCACAGCCCGAACTCTTGCAAATAAGCACAACCACCACCCAAAACTGTCAGAACTAAGAGGCTAAGAGAAAATAACTATCCAGTCTGGCACCCAAGATGTCCCCCAAATGCTTTGTGTTTCCTTCAAGCTGAGTAAAATCCCTTCCACCTCTTTGAAGTCGATGAAAGACCATTCCAGCTTAATTTCACTTCAGACCTTGAAATATCCAGTTTCTCCATCTACAGGAAACAAAGGAAATGTCAGGACAGAGTGGAAAAGAGCAGAAAAGCAGTCCTTACACAAGAATTCTTTTCCAAAAAAATAGTTGATTTCAAGATTGCAGAGAAAATGGTGCCCGGGAATTGAGGAAGCCCTACCTCCAAGAAAAGGGTTTATGGGAAGGGGAGGGCTGTTGGAAAAGGGGGACCTGAACAGGATAAACAGGAGCCCAAAGGTGCAGATGGGGCCAGAGAAAACACCGAGAGGCAGGAATGGGGAAAAGATGTAAGGAAAGTCTAGGTGTTCCTCCTATTCTCGGGGACATCCCAAGTCCACCTGGGTTGCTGGCTCATGCAGGACAGGTGGAACTTTGTGCCATTCACTGGCACTGTGGCCCTCGGCCAGGGCAGCCCACTCTTTCTGTCTGACCTGCTGTTAGTTCACACACAAAGCCCTTCTGTAGGGATCTGAGAACACTGTCGTGGGCAGGACAGGAGAGAAGCAACCCTGCTAGCACCAGAGTAGAGCGTGTTCCCACTGACCGGCTTCCCAGACATTGGAGGAAAGGGACCAAAGACCCTGGGCATAGTGTAGACAGAGGGTGATGCAGCCACTACAGAGGCCATGGTGGTGACAGGGGGTGGCGGTGGCGGCGGTGGTGGCAGTGGAGGTGGTAACGGGGCTGGTGGCAGGCATGGGGAGGTTGACCGGTCATGGAGGAGGACTGGATCTGCTTTCTTTAGTTTTGGCTTCTTCCTCCTCTTCTTGGAACCTGCAGCAAATGGTGCAGTGAGTTCTGACAGCTTGGGCAGTGGGACCCAAACATAGTAACACAGGGAGGGCTTCAAGACGCCTCTCCAGCAAAGCAAAGCCTTCCCAGGCTTTTTACAAAACCTGGTACAATACCTAGGGCCACCAGTGACAGGGGCCAGCAGGCATTATCTCACCAGCCACCCAACACCTTAGAGAAAGGATCCAAAATCTCTCTCTCTCTCTCTCTCTCTCTCTCTCTCTCTCTCTCTCCCTCTCCCTCTGCCTCTCCCTCTCCCCTCTTCTCTCCCCCTCCTTCCCTCCTTCTAGAGGGTCTTATGGATCCTAGGCTGGCCTGTATCAGCAGCTGAGAATCACCTGAAACTTTCGATCTTCTTGCCTCCAGCCTCCAGGCACTGGGATTATATGTACACAAACAGTTTATGTGATGCTTGGGATTAAGCTTCATGTGTTCTAGCCAGGCATTCTAGCACCAAAGCCATATATCAATCCTATTTTTGCCTCTTACAGGCAGAGCCAGATCCCCTATCTGCACAAGAGCAGGCAGAATCTATGCCAAGATGTCTAACTTTAAGGGTATAATTTTGAAGGGAGTAATGGAATGAGCCAGGCCCTGTAGGCCAACCTGTGGCCTCCCAGGCAGGAACTGTGGAAGACTGAGTCTGCCAACACCAGCAAGGATATCCAGGTCCCAGACAGTGAGTCCCCAGACTACATCCAGCCTCAGAGGCATGGGTGGTGGAAAGGGTACTGCTTTTAAGCTGGGTGTTGGTGGTGCACGCCTTTACTCCCAACACTCAGGAGGCAGAGACAGGTGGATCTCTGTGAGTTCGAGACCAGCCTGGTCTACAAGAGCTAGTTCCGGGACAGTCTCCAAAGCCACAGAGAAACCCTGTCTAGAAAAAAGAAAGAAAGAAAGAAAGAAAGGAAGGAAGGAAGGAAGGAAGGAAGGAAGGAAGGAAGGAAGGAAGGAAAACCCATAGTGAGGTCTTGCAAAGGCAGGTTCAAGTAAAGTGATACCTGGCAGGACCCTGAGCCAGGCCCTACTCCACTTTCAGGCCTTATGGAGTGCATTGAATGAGTACATGGAGTGTTAAAGCACACCTTATACAGCCCATCAGAAAAGTTCATTAGCTAGATGTGGTGGTGTATGCCTGCAACCACAGAATTAAGGAGATAGAGGCAGGGGATCAGGAATTCAAAGCTAATCTGAGCTCCTTATCAAGTTAAAGGTCAGCCAGGGATATGAGGCCCTGTCAAACAATAAGGGTTGACAAGATGGCTCAGCAAGTAAGGACACCACCAACCCCTGATGACCTGAGTTATGGAAGAGACCAAAAGCCTTGCTAGTTGTCCTCAGCTATCCACATATGCACCATGGAAAGTATGTGTGTGCATGCATACACACACACACACACACACACACTCACACACACACACACACACACACACACAAACACACACTAAATAAATGGAATAGAAGTGCTGGAGAGGTGGCTCAGTGGTTAAGAGCACTTATTGCTCCTGCAGAAGACCTGTATTCACATCCCAGCACCCATGTCAGGCAGCTCACAACAACCTGGAACTCCAGGTGTAAGGAATCCAATGCCCTCTTCTGGCTTCCACAAGTATCTGTACGAGTACATGGAATACATGCATACACACACACACACACACACACACACACACACACACATTAAATAAATAAAATGCTTTACATTTTTTAGCCAGGCGGGGGTGGTACACTCTTTAATCCCACCACTTAGGAAAACAGAGGCAGGCAGATCTCTGTGAGTTTGAGGCCAACCTGGTCTACAGAGTGACTTCCAGGACAGCCAAGGCTATCACAGAGAAACCCTATCTCAAAAAAATTTTTTTAAATAAATATTAATAGAAAAATAATAAAAATGTGTTTGGGGGGGGCTAAAGAACTGACTCAGTTGGTAAAGTACCTACATCACAAGCATAAAGCTCTGAACTCATAGCCAGGCAGTGGTGGCACACGCCTTTAGTCCCAGCACTCCAGAAACAGAGGCAGGTGGGTCTCTTGAATTTAAGGCCAACCTGGTCTACATAGTAAGTTCTAGGACAGCCAGGGCTACACAGAGAAACCCTGTCTCAAAAAAGATGGAAAAAAAAAAGATCTGAGTTCAGATCTCCCATCCTACAGAAAATGCAGGGCAGGCCAGCACACACCTGTGATCCCAGCACTTTGGGGATAGATAAAGATAGATGCCTGATGCTCACTGTCCAGCCAGGCTACCCAAATCAATGGATGAGCTTAAGGTTCAGACACAGACCTCATGTCAAAACATAAAGGTGGAGAATGAGAGCAGAGAACCAGATGTACTGATGCACGCCTTTAGTCCCAAGCAGGCCGATCTCTGTGAAACTGAGGCCAGCCTGGTCTACACAGTGAGTTAGTTCCAGGATGGCCAGTGTTACATAGCGAGACCCTGTCTAAACACACACACACATACACACATATAAGAAAGAAAAAGGGCCCTAAGATGGCTCACTGGGTAAGAGCGCTTGCTATGTAAGCCTGACAACCAGAATTGATCTCCAGATCCTACAGTGGATGAACTGACTCTTGCAAGTTATCCTCTGACCTCCATGTGTGTGTATACACACAATAATAATAGTTATCTTGTTTTAGAGCCAGGTGTGGCAGTGCATGCCTTTAATCCCAGCACTCTTTGAAGGCAGAGGTAACCAGATCTCTGTGATTTTGAGGCCAGCATGACTGCAGAAAAAGACCCCATCTCAAATAAGTAGATACATTGTTTTAATTAAAACACATCCTAAGGCCGGGATTAAAAGCGTCTGACACCCTATCTCAACTCCCTCTACAGTCAACCTCTAAATTAGCTAATCTTGCTGGAAGCTATGTCTTCCTTTCTCCCTTTCTATCCCAGCCCCTCCTTCCTCCTCTTCATTAAACCAGATCCAAGAAGGTTAAGTCCAACCTACACACCTCACTTGCACCTAGGATGTCACCAACCTGAGCTTGACATACACTGCAATGTTGATGGGAACTGAAATGGGAGGGGGAGCAGTTGCCTGGGCTCAGATTCCCAAGGGCTCACAATTTCATTAGTTGACCCTCACCCTGGGAATACAGGTGTACACGGTGGATGCGCCTCTTCAGCTGCTCCAGGCGCTGATGCATCTCCAGGGCACCCATACTGTTGCACTGGTTCAGTTCCCCCTGGACAGCGCAGACAAACTTCGCCTGCAATATCGATTGAAGAGAGGCGGGAAGCAAGAAGAGAGTTGCTTGCCTGCTCTATCCCTAGGTTTGGTGTCCTTGGCTTCGGAAAGACCCTTCCGGTTTCCCGAAGCACCCCCCCCTCACACACACACACACCCGGTTAGATGACCTTCCCATTCATCCATCCCTCAAAGCCCACCCTCAAAGCTCCACCCTAAGAAACAGCAGGTGGAAGTGGAAGTGGTGGCCTCCCACTGCCCGCACCCAGAGGCAGGAGAGGAGTCCTCGCTGCTCGATCTCAGTCTGCTTGCCCTTGCGCACGACCCTCTCCGCCAGCGCTGGGTTACGATCCAAGGTGCGGAAGAGACGGCGCAGAGAGCGCTCTGTGTAGGTCGCTGCTTGCCTCTCGAAGTCGTCCTCGGAGATGAGCTGGCAGAAGGTCACACTCTGGGGAAATTCGTTGTCGTACTCGTCCAGGACTTCCATCGAGAGGGACTGCTGATGGTGGGCCGGTGCTGCCTGGGGGCGGAGCGCCAGTCAGGGTAGGGCTCCTGGGGCGAGGGGACCCTCCCGAGGGCTAGGACTGAGGTCCTGAAAGGTGACAGGAGCCCACTGGGACTGCAGGACGCACCCACTCTTTCCCTGCAGCCGCAGCGCAGACTCCAGTTCCCCAGACTGCCTGCCCCCTCCGGGTACACCCTAGAGAGTCAGGGGGCGGGGCCAGCGCCAGTACACGTGACAATGCCCACCTCTCCGGGCATGCGCGCTAATGTGCTCCTTCTCCCCAATCCTCTTGACCCCTGGAGGCACCCAGGTAGGTGCCTTGGGGATTTTAATCTGCTGAGCCATGGTCCTGTCCAAAGCACCCAGCCCTCTCCCAGTTTTTCGTTCCCTCCCCAACCTGCCTTACCAGTCTGCCCTGGTAATTGAATCTAGCTTCCAGTTCAACAAGGCGATATCCAAAAGGATTTCCTTCTGCCCCCAAAGTGCTTTAAAAGCTTGGGCTTTTGCACCCTCTGCATTTTCTGTACTACTCCAGAGCATTCCACACAACCCTCTCCAGGTCATGTCCTGACCTCCCCTTCATGATCACTTCATGGTTTGTTGTTGTTTTCTGAGACAAGGTGTAGTTCTTTCTGGTTGTACTGGAAATCACTGCAGACCAGGCTGACCACTGGACAGCGCAGACAAACTTCGCCTGCAATAACGATTGAGGAAAGGCAGGAAGCCAGAAGAGTGTCACTTGCCTACTCTATCCCCAGGCTTGGAATCCTTGGCTTTTACCTCTGCTTGTCTCTGCCTCTGGAATGATGGGATTAAAGGTGTATGACAGCGTACCCGGACCCATGGCCACTTCTTTGTCTTGATGCCCTCCTGTCCTTTCCTTCTTGCCCCTCTGCTACATTTCTAAAGGTTGTCTTCACCTGCCTCTTTTTTTGGGGGTGGGGAGGTTCCAGGGAACCTTTGGCTTTGGGGGCTATCCTGGAACTCGCTCTTGTAGACAAGGCTGGTCTCAAACTCACAGATATCTGCCTGCTTCTGCCTCCCAAGTGCTGGGATTAAAAGTGTGCACCACCAAGACACAGCTCTTCACCTGCCTCTTGACAGCCAACCTAAATCCTCCGAGGCCCAGCCCTCTCTTGAGCTCCAGGCCTACACCCAAGATATGGACAAGATATGGGGCATCTCAGAAGGACCCGCTGCACCAAGAGCTGCTGTCCCGCATCTACCCTGGCCACTGAGGAGGGTGCATGCCAGCTGCTTCCTCACCATCAAAACCCTCCATCAGGCCTGAACCCCCGTATGTATCAGAGCAGTTCCCCTATGGGTGCCAGGACTTGTACAGCTAGAGTAGGGTTGTGGCAGATTTTCTCAATCCAAGGGGTGAAGGCTATTCCCAAAGGCCAATCTGGAAGCCTGGGCCTCCTTTCAAGGAGACAGGCCTGACCAACGCTAACCAGATCTTTTTTTAGGGGATGGGGGCATTAAAACAGAGTCTCACCATGTAACTCTGGCTGTCCTAAAACTTGCTATGTAGAGTCCTGTCCTCAAATTCATAAAGATCCACCTACCCATGCCTTCCCAATGCTGGGTTCAAAAGCATGGGCCTCCACACCCAGCTTCTCACTGGCTTTTGTTGGTAAAGGTAACTCTGCAAGCACACGACAGGAAAGGCTTCCTTAAAAGTTCAGCTCTAGCCCTGCCTGGAAAGCAGACGTGCCAGATGCCTCAATGTCCCTCCTGTTCAGGATATACTGTCCTGTAAGAGAGCAAGCAGGCGTGGCTGGCAGATCTCCTCTGCAGGCTTCCTATTCCAAGTCCATCCATCCATCCCAGGCAGTTTACTCCTGCTGAACCCCAAGACCCAAGATAATGCCCTGGTATGAGGGCCTTTTCATGCCTCCTCCCAACCACCACTCAGGACATCCTCTCTTTACCTTGGTTACCTTCAGGCATTCGGGAAGGCTGAGTCCTGGTGTAGTCAAGGCTGAGCGAGGTACCAAAGACCTTTTCCTTACAAAGAGGTGAACATCTATCTCTCTCCACAAACTCCTGGAGTCCCTAATTTTGTTTTGGTTCTTGAGACAGCATTATGCCATAGACCGGGCCAGCCTCAAATTTGAGGCACTCTTCCTGCCTCAGCCACCAGGCATGAGCTACCACACCTAGCATGGACACCCCAGTCTTAACCTGGGGGGGCCAAGAGCCTGAAAGCAGAGCCTTTTCAAATCTGGGGTCTCTTCTGTGTACTGGTTCCCAGTATCCACTTTATGCTCTCAGATGGGTAGTCTCATTCAGCTCTGCATCCATGAATAACTAATCCAAGCACTTACCCTGTGGGCACCTCGGGGTTCTCAGCTGGGAAGTGAGTGAGTATGTGGATAGTGAGTGGGCAGGGCCTGACAGATGCCCTTTCATCATTGCACTGCTCCCCAGTGGCCCACAGTAGTGCAACAGGGAAAGAGTGTCCAGCAAGCCTGGTGGTCTCTCTGGGTGGGGTGGGGTGGGGTGGAATCTTAGCCCCAGAATGCCTGCCCACCTGGGTGGGGCCTCTGCCTAGGCCAAGGGTGCCCTCTGACCCCAGAGACACAGGCCTGGCTAGAATCTTTAGTTTCCATGGAGAACAGAATAAAATGAGCATGGGGGTGGGGTGGGGTTGCAGGCCTGAGGGGCCAGGCCTGGAAAGAGAGGAAAGGAGTTGTAGGTGAAGAGGTGGTCTACAAGGCTGGTCCCAGATGCTTTGACAATATCATTGCACTGCTTCTCAGAGCACAGTAGTGCAACCTAGTCAGAGCACCTGCAGCCAGCAGGTAATCCATCACCCTCAGGCTGGAAGTTCAACCATCACAGGTAGATAGGACCTCTGTCCAAGACTTGGAGCATAGAGGGGATTCCAGCCAGGATACAGTCCTCAGGGTCTTAGGAACTTCAGGACACCCAAACTTTCCCCAACAAGATTCCGATTCTGGTGAAAGATACTCCCAGGAGAGAACATAAGGGCAAGCACCTGAGGGGGCTCACACACAAAGGAGAGAGGCCTGTGCTCAGCCACGGTGTGTGTGTTTGGGGGGGGAGTACCTTGTACTCTGTTTCAGCCTGGAGCTCCTTCTAGAGCAAAAGGGATGCTTCACCCCTAGCAGGTGAGGCCCTTGGAGTTACAGACCTGGTCCTTGGTTCTGCATTCTGTGCTTACAGATTCTTCTGCCGGGAGGAGCAGAGCGAGGGCTTTCATGCCATCTGGATTTCCCTGCCCTGGGAGGGTCCCTGGCCTCACCGCACCGCCCCCACCCCCACCCCCCTCAGACCAGATACTCACATGGACAGATACCCCTTGTTTTCACGGTGGGGACAAAGTGAAGATTAGTGGGAGGAGATCCTGGTTGTCGCCGGCCCTGTCCTACCCGGACAACCCCGCACCTCGTGGCGCCCTCTCGCTGGTGGGCTCCATCTTTAACCTTCTGACAGTCCCAAGGGCCGAGCCCCAGGCCTTAAGCAAGGCACAGCGCCAGCCTCATTGGCTTGCGCCAACACCAAGCTTCGCCTACTGCACACCTATTGGCTGCTGCTGGAAAGATTTCAAAATAGCCTCCGGGCTCCGATTGGCCAGGCGCCCGAGTTTTGGCTCTGCCATTTTAACAATGAGTCCTACACACACTTTCTCATTCATAACTTATGAAAAGGAGCTCTGCCCGCCTTTTCCCAGCTTGCTTCTCTGTACGTATAGCAGTGATCTTCGTGAGGACGCGTACATGCTGCCACACAGCTCACCAAATTAAGGAGAGTGCTGAGATTCCGGGGAAGGGTTTGAGCCACTGGCTAAGCCCGCAGTTGAATGAGCCCTCATGCTCCTAACAAATAGGACAGTCAAGCAAAGGAGGCGGCCTTCCCTATTTCTGTCAAACTTTTCATAGCATCACCCTCAGGAAACCTCCAGCTGTACTGGGGAGGCCCTGGTGTGTGTAAGGGAAGAAAATGCCCTGATGTCGCTGAGATTGGAAACCACTTTGTGGATAAGAGTTCATTGAGTGACCTTTCTGGGCTGATAAGTGGCAAAGATACACATTGCCTAGCAAATAGAAGCTGAAGAGCTCTACTCAGATGTGTGCTGGGATAGGGAAAACATGATTTTGCAAGTGGCATCTGTGCTTGCTCCTGTTTTATCCCAGTTCCATGGCTGAGAGAAAATGTTTTCAAAACAGCTGTTTTTCAATCTTCAGGAACGTCTGTTGCCCAGTTTATTTTAAATTTATGTGAGTGGTGGTTTTGCCTGTGTGTCTGTGCACTGCATGCATGCCTGGGTCCAAGAAGGCCAGAAGAAGGTGTTCAATCCTCTGAAACTGGAATTATAAACAATTGTGAGTCACCACATGGAGGCTGGAATTGGAACCCAGGTCCTCTGGAAGAGCAGCCAATGCTCCTAACTGCTGAACTATGATCTCTTCTTCAGGGGAAAAAAAAAATGGTGTTGGTTTTGGAGACAAGGCCCATCCTGTACCACTGACTGGCTGGGGACTCAGTGACTCAGCTAGCTTTGTGCTTATGGTGATCCTCCTGGGTCTTTGTAGTCATGGGCCACCATACTGTGCCTCACCACACTAATGCAAAACAAAACACCCAGAAATCCCAGCATTTGGGGAATGGAGAAAAGAGAATCAGAAGTTTAAAACCAAGACCAGCCTGAGCTACACGAACTACTATTACTCTAGGAATGGGGCACACTGGAGAGACAGCTCAGTGGTGAAGAGGGCTGGCTGGCTGCTCTCCCAGAGGACCCAGGTTCCATTTTCAGCACCCACAAGCCCTCTCACAACCATCTAACTCCAGTTCCAGGGGTTCTGACACCTTCTGGTTTCTGCAGGCAAAATACCCACACACACAAAAATAAAAACACATTTTAAAATTAAGTGTTTTGTGGCTGTTACTTTTGCTAGGTTTGGCCATGTTCTGAATTCTGCATGGAATGTTTCTGCTCCAAATGCATATTGGGTTACCCAGGATTCCTACCTGCTGTGCACCTGAGTTCTTCCCCTAATCAGCATTCTAACACCTCACTGCCTGCATAGGTGGACAGGAAGAGATCTCCCTTGCATGTACAGGGTGTGGCAATGCTGGAGTGCCCCACCCCAATCTTGGCTCTTCTCAGGAAAAAAACAAAAACAAAAACAGCCCACCTGTGATTCTGTCTGTGGTCTTCTGGCTGGTGGAGCCTTTATCGAATACACAAGAAGTGCTACTGAGCAATTGCTCCCACCCAGCTAGCAGCCCTCAGCCAATGAGAGAAGATGCTCTGGCTTCCTTTCCTCTCAAGTGGTATAACTTTAGTGAGATTCCCCAATGAGACCAAGTACTAGGGTGGACTAGGGCCCCACAATGCACCTTGCTCAGCTCCCAGCATTTACTGGAATCCTCTCCCAATCATCTCCTTCCATCTAAATCCTCTCAGATCTCAAGAGATGGAGAGGAATGCAGACTTCTAGATGAAGCTCAAGAGTTTTTGGGTCTGGAGAGATGTCTCAGCTGTTGAAATTGAGTACTGTTCTTGCAGAGCTGTTAAAATTGACCCAGAATGGGTTCCTAGCACCCATACTAGATGGCTCACAGCCATCTGTAGCCCCAGCTCCAAGAGATCCAACACCCTCTTCTGACCTCTGAGGACACTACACTCATGTGCAGTTACACACACACACACACACACACACACACACACACACACACACAATCAAAAGATAACATTTAAAAGTTTGGCTGCATGGTGGTGCACACCTTTAATCCCAGCACCCAGGAGGCAGAGGCAGGTGGATCTCTATGAATTCTGGCCTGCTGGGTCTAGTTTCAGACCAGCCAAAGTCACATGAAGAAAGCTTGTCTCAAAACAAAAGTTTGTCAGTGGGAAGACGAGGGTCTCATGGGGCAGGAGAGTAATGATCCAAGACATAACTGCCGCCCCTGAGGATTCAATTGACTTACAGCTTTTGTCTCACCCATGTGCTTTAATAAAGTCTACTGATTTCTCAAATCCGTGTGTTTCCTGCTCTTCCCACCCTATTCCAAGTCCCTTCCAGACAACCCCAGCCTCTTGGGACTTTTTCTGGCTCTCAGGAAATCAACACTTTCCATCCCCAGCAGTTCCCTGAAGTCCTTATGACCTATGGGGCCAAGCCTAGACAATCTGTCATTTCTTCTACTACCTCTAGAGGCCACACACACACCACTAGTGAGCTGTTAGCTTGCTTAATGTAAGCCCTTCTATTTCTTTTGCTTGTGTTTTTATTTACTCATTTAGACTGTATGGTACATTGTGTCTGTTATTTTATTTAATTTTGGTGCTGGAAATGGGTCTTATGCCTTGTACATGCTAGCAAAGTACTCTACCCATAGCCTCATGCACACCAAGTACCAACTGTTCCACTGCACTCAACAAGCACCTGTTCACAACCCAACTAACTCCCCAGCCCTCTATTCATGCCTTTAAACTGTAGTACTCTGGCTGCCGGGATTGTGCCTCCTCAGATTCCTATACTTTTTTTTTTTTTTTTTTGAGTTGTCTTCCCCTGAGATGTCTTTTGAGGTATTCTATTTACTCTCTTTTTTAAAATTATGTGCCTGTATGAGTTTGTGCACATGTGCGAGAGGTGAGAGGCGTGAGAAATTCCCTTGGAACTGGAGTTACAAGTTGTGAACCACCTGACAAGACATAAGGTGGGGGTCCTCTGAAAGGGCAGACTGTGCTCTTAACCACTGAGCCATCTCTCCAGCCTTAATTCTTTCCGCTCTTTAGAACCCTGGGGAAAGAAGAGTGTCCTTTACAGCAAGAGTACGGGAGCCTGAGGTCTTACTTTCCAGTATAGGGCAGAACCCTCAACTGGCCTTTGGTCAAACATAAATCTTTGTGTGTATGAGCACAAGCGTACGCATGTGTGAGCTCGTGTGTAGCCCTAGCTGTCCTGGAACTCGCTCTGGCGACCAGGCTGGCCTCAAACTCACAGAGATCCACCTGCCTCTGCCTCCCGGGTGCTGGGATTAGAGGTGTGCCCAGCCAGAGATAAATCTCAAGACTGCCACAACCAGAAGAAGAGTGGGGTCCTGAGGGCAAGGAATGAGGGGACTGGAGAGCTTGAGTCCCATCCCAGCTGACAGGGCCCCTGAGGCCAAGGCCACACAATAAGTTCAAGTACTGGGAGCTGAGGTCCATGGCTATGAGGTTGCTGTAGAGTAGACAGGAGAGACGACTGTTCAAAGCAGATTTACAATGCATCGACAGGCATCAAAAAAGGTTTGGGTCAAGGCTAGAGAGATGGCTCAGAGGTTAAGAGCACTGACTGCTCTTCCAGAGGTCCTGAGTTCAATTCCCAGCAACCACATGGTGGCTCACCACCATCTACAGTGGGATCTGATGCCCTCTGCTGGCATGCAGGCAGAGCAGAAGACTAGACATAATAAATAAATAAATAAATAAATAAATATAAATATAAATATAAAGGTTTGGGGCCACTGAGACAGCTCAGCAGCTAGAGTGTGTGCTACACAATCCTGACAACCTGAATTTGATCTCTGGAACCAATATAAAGGTAGGATATGAGAATCAACTATCAACAGTTGGTCTCTAAACTTCACACATGCACGCATGTACAGGTGCCAACATACACACAGAACATGCACTCACACTAGTAAAGAATGATTTTATAAAAGAGTTTGGGGTCAGTTGTGGTGGTGCACACCTTTAATCCCAGCACTCAGGAGGCAGAGGCAGGTGGATCTCTGTGAGTTCCAGGTCAGTCAGGGCTACATAGTGAGACTGTCTCAAAAAAAAAAAAAAAAAGTTTGAACAGGTACCTAGAGACAGGTGAGATGGCAACATGGACAGACATGGCTGGTACCTCCAGATCTTCCCTGGGGTTACAGCAAATATAAACACAAACCAACATTTTTTAATCATAAAGGCACTTGAGGACTCTACAAACAAAGTCTCACACAAGAGTGGCCCTACAGAATCCCTACCCAGCCACCCTCCCTCCCTTCACCCATCCAGTTCTCAGAGTTCATCATGACTTGTAGAGAGATCTGCTCCAGGCTTGATGAAGATACCTTCCATGGCCTTCCATGTGTTGTGAGCATTGGCGCTAGCCATGCCGTGCACCTCATGCTGTCCACGAATTGGGTTACCATACTGCTCACCAGTGACCGACAGGAACACAGAGGTGCCCACATGCTGGAAGCGGACGCTGGCCTCGCGCTCCCAGTGTTGCCCAGAGCATCGTACTGTCCACAGGTCCAGGTCGTCACCCTCGCCATCTTCCCCGAAAGCACTCACCTCCTGAGAGTGTAAAGTATGGAGGACAGTCACATAGAGAAGAGCACCCTGTCTCGAAAAATCAAAAAAGAGTCCCACACTAGCCAGGTATGGTGGCACATGCCTTTAAGTACAGCACTCAGGAGGCAGAGGCAGGCATATCTCTGGATGTTTGAGACCTGCCTGGTCTACATAGTAAGTTCCAGGATAGCCAGGGCTATATACAGAAAGATGGTCTCAAAATACAAACAAACCAAAAAAAAAAAAAAAAAATTCCCATCCTATTGAAGGTTTCTTCAGATGCATAGAGCCTCTTTTTTGTTTGTTTGTTTTGTTTTGTTTTGTTTTGTAAGACAGGTTTTTCTGTGTAGCCCTGGCCATTCTGGAACTCACTCTATAGACTAGGCTGTCCTAGAACTCAGAGATCCACCTACCTCTATCTCCTGAGTGCTGGGACTAAAGGCATGCACCACATAGATCAATCAGTCTTTGTAGTGCCCACTGGCCCTCTGGAGCTAAGACCTTCTCTCCATGGGTTTCTTTTTTGGGGGGAAGGGGGGTGGAGACAAGGTTTCTCTGTGGCTTTGGAGGCTGAAGGTTGTCCTGGAACTAGCTCTTGTAGACCAGGCTAGCCTCGAACTCACAGAGATCTGCCTATCTCTGCCTCCCGAGTGCTGGATTAAAGGTGTGCTCCACCACGGTCTCCAAAGGCTTCTTGTGCTAACCTAGTGAAGGCACATCCCCCAAGCTCTTCCCAGTCTAACAGCCATGTTCCCTATCGCCAACATTTCCCCCCAGAAACTCTCCCAAAGCACTGTCAGTTCCTTCTCATGCCCCCCACCCCCACCAGCTGCAGTGACCATATGCTTCAGCAGGAGCTATGCCACAGAGGGAAAGGTCTGGGGGAAAGCTCCTACTTCTCTTTCAGAACCAGCCCGAGGTGCTCCTTTCTTCAATGTTCTACTACTTATCTGCTGTGAGTCCCCCTCGTGTCCAAATAGGAGCTAATCAATCTCTGACTTCTCAGTCCTTCTCCTAACTCTGGGGTAGAAATTCCTGAGGACAGGACGCAGAGCGGAGGCTTCATAAACTTCTGATTAGAAAAACTCCCATTTCACTGCAGCTGAGACTGAGTCCCCTGTCGGCTCCCTCCCTCACACCTCCCGATGTCGCTCGGGTTCCTGCCCGCTCAGTTTCGGCGGGGCTCGGAACGGGGCTTGCCTGGTTGTTGGAGAGCGGCGACGGGAAGTGGTGCGTGTGCAGGTTCTTGCCGGTGAGCACATGCGTGAGCCGCACTGCCTGCCCACAACGCACTGGGAGCCCGCGCGGGCACCCGTCCTCCCCCCACGACCCCTCCAGTAACTATTGGCATCGTCGGACGCCTCCACGCCGGTTACCGACTGTTGGCCGCTGCCTGGAGAGGGACAGCCCACCCCGTGGTCTCTGTCAATTGCAGATCTCGGGATCCTCGTCTTGAACACTAACAAGTTCCTCCCACAGCCCCCACTAATTCAGGATCCCAAGGGCTCACCCCAGTCGAGGCCCCCGCCGGACCCTCCACATCCTCAATGCCCGCGGCTTGCCTCTCACGACCCTGCAAGCGAGTCTAGACTCGCAACTACCCAGCTCCCTGACAGCCCGCAGAGCCCACTAGGACCACCTGGCCTCTAAGCCTCCGCCCGGCCCCGGTGCCCATCCCAGTCACTCACTACCCCTGCGCACCGGATCCGTATTTGATGTCGTGTGAGTGCAGCCGCACTTTGTGGTGGGTGTTCAGCAGCTTCAGCACTGACCCGCAGGTGACGAGCCCGGCGCTGGCCTTGGACGCGTCACCGCTGCGCACCGACAGCACCAGCAGCAGCACCAGTAGCGCCCCGGCTACCCCGCCGCGACTCGCGCCCCGCATCGCGACGGCCGGCCGGGCTCCAGCAGCTCCGGACCTCAGCACTGCTGTCCTCAACACCGGCCAATCCGCCTCTGACAGCGCCCTCTCATAGCAGCCAATTGCCTGCCCGCGCGCGCTCCTCCTGCACTAGGATTGGGTCGTTGTGCAGCGGTCCCACCCCCCAGCTTTCAAGGAGGTGGCTGGGGGGCGGGGAGCTGAAGACACCAGGAGGGTTTTAACTGGTCCACCCTTCCGAGGACCCGCCAATGAACGCCCAGAGAGCAGCGGCGGCGGCGGCGGCGACCAGCTCCGAGAGGCCTCAGAGTGGCGCACAGCGAGGTTTGTGGCCAGTAGTCATTTGGCCCCAGTCGTAAGCCCTTGGGGGGGGGGGTAGGTTCAGGAACCCCTTTGACACTGGGCCCCTGGACTTCAGTCCTGGGCGTAAATGTGCACAGTCTTGTGAATCACTAGATTTTGTGGTCACAAAGCGGACAGATCCCACTTACTGAAATCTCCTGACCCCAGGAGTTTAACTGTCACTGGGTCATGTCAGCTCCTGGATCCCAGGGTTTCTGAATTCCCTTGGCCATGCAGCTACTTGAGTGATTTGGTGGCAGAATATCAAGGTTGCTGGATGAGTCATCAAAAGACAGCTGGTAGCTGTCACTCATATATATAATTTTTTTCTATGTTGGGGATCCACAAAGGAACTGCTTACAGGCTATATTACCAAGTGGCTGATGAAGTATGTACCTGGAGCACTAGCTAGATACTCATTAAAGTTTCTATTTAGGGGCCGGAGATGTGTCTCAGTAGAGTGCTTGTCTAACTAGCACAAAACCTTGGGTTTGATCTCTAGCATATCAACACTCAAGTGGTGGAGGCCAGAAGTTAAAGAGAAAGATTGAGGTTAGTGGCCAACCTGGACTACGTAAGACTCTTACAAAAAAAAATTAAAAAAATTTTAGGCCAGACATACGTAGTAGCACACTTAGGAGGCAGACAACAAAATTAATTCGTGTTTCAGAGTTTCAGACCAATATATCCTATATAGAAAGTTCCAAGCCACCCAAGGCTACATGTGAGACCATTTTTCTTTTTTCTTTTTTTTTCAAGTTTTTTTCCTTATTTTTTTATTAGTTCAAATTAGTAACAAGCTTGCTTCACATGTCAAGAGACCATTTTTCAAAGATTGAAAAAACTCATATTGAATTCAATTATCCAGAATTTTGCACTCAGAAAATAGAGAAGTCATTAATGACAGCAACCTGGTAATTCAGGTTTTGTGTGTAATTTTGTGAATTGAACTTAAGGCCTAACCTAGGGTAAACAAAAGACCTACTGATGAGCTACATCTACAACTCAATGTGGAGTTTTCACATTTCAGGGTTATTATATTTTGGATTACACATGGGATAAGGCACCTTATTCTGCACTTGGAAGATCATGCCCTTAAATGATCTAGGTCCAGCATCCAAGATGCACTGACAATGTCTTATTGGAAATGTCAATAGAGATCTGAAATTTAGCATGTCTAAGGCAGAATTGTCTTTTCCCTTAAACTACTCCTCCTTCAAGTTTCCAAGGCTCAATAAAAGGCAGCACTAAATGCCAAGTGGTGGTGGCACACACCTTTAATCCCAGCCCTCAGGAGGCAGAGGTAGGCATCTCTATCTCTGAGTTTGGGGCCAGCTTGGTCTACAGAGTGAGTTCCAGGACAGCCAGGACTACTCAGAGAAATTCTGTTTTGAAAAAGAAAATAAAAAGGGAAACACCAATGATCAATTGCTCAAGACAAACTTGGAAGGTTGGCATTCACACACACACACACACACACAAATAAATAAATGTAATAAAAATATGAAAACCTGAAATTTAGAAATCTGATTCCTGGCCAGGTGGTGGTGGCGCACGCCTTTAATCCCAGCACTTGGGAGGCTGAGACAGATGTATTACTGAGAGTTCGAGACCAGCCTGGTCTACAGGAGCTAGTTCCAGGGCAGCCTCCAAAGCCACAGAGAAACCCTGTCTCAAACAAACAAACAAACAAACAAACAAACAAAAAAGAGTCCAAAGTGCCAGGCCTTGGTGGCACATGCCTTTAATCCCAGCACTTGGGAGGCAGTGGCAGGCAGATCTCTGTGAGTTCGAGGCCAGCCTGGTCTCGAGATCGAGTGCCAGGATAGGCTCTAAAGCTACACAGAGAAGCCCTGTCTCGAAAAACAAAAAACAAAAAACAAACAACAACAACAAAAAAGAGTCCAAGGCTATCTTTGAGTCCCTGACTCAAAAGAAAAGAAAGACATGGTTTTCTCCATTGCACTTAGAGTCAAAGATGGCAAGGACATAAGCTCCATGACAGACAGAAGTAGCAGGTTTCTAAGCAGGCTGTGTCAAAACTGCTAGAATCAAAATGGAGTCATTTTGTCAAACCCCTAACCAAAATTAACATGTAAATATCAGAGGCTGAGAAGAATAATCTGCATGTCTGAGGAGAATAATCTACAAAACACTGCAGGCTTGCACAGAATGTGCCAGCAGCTGCCGCCTCCAGAGACCACCGAGGAACACTGCTCACCGATTGCTTTCTTCTCCTTGTGCTCAACTTTCTGTTTATTTATTCATTTTTTTAGACAGAGTTTCTCTATGTAGCCCTAGCTGTCCTAGAACTTGCACTGTATTGCTCTATAGACCAGGCTGGCCTTGAACCCAGAGATCTGTCTGCCTTTGTCTCCTGAGTGCTGGGATTAAAGATGTGTACCACTAGGACTGGACTCAGCTTTCTTGGGTTTTTTGTTGTTGTTGTTGTTGTTTTTCTTCAAAACAGGATATCATTATATATATCCCTGGCCGCCCTGGAACTCTCTATGTAGACCAGGCTAGCCACAAAGTCCCAGAAATCTGCTTGCCTCTACCTCCCAAGTGCTAGAATTAAAAGCATGCACCATCGCTGGGCGTTGGTGGTGCACACCTTTAATCCCAGCACTCGGGAGGCAGAGGCAGGGGGATCTCTGTGAGTTCGAGGCCAGCCTGGTCTCTAGAGAGAGTGCTCCAGGATAGGCTCCAAAGCTACACAGAGGAACCCTGTCTCAAAAAAAAAAAAAAAAAAAAAAAAAAAGCATGCACCATCACAGCCAGGCACAGTTAGCTTTCAACCCAGGACTACTTGGCCAGGGACTGGTACTGTACCTAGTGGGCTAGTCCCTTCTACATCAATTAGGAATCAAGAAAATACCCTCCCCCAAATCCCCAAGGTCAATGAGATGGAGGCAGTTCCTCCACTGAGGTCCTCTCTTTCCAGGCCAAGTTGATAAACAAGATTAGCCATCGAATCCCTATTTAATCTCAGACTGGTACCATGTTTACTATCAATCCTTGTAGCCATGGATTATTGTTATAGAATCATTTTGTAATTTCCATGTATCCTTTTAAATTTCCTTTGCCTCACCTTCCTGCAATACGTTCAAATATGATTATAACAGCATATCCATTGAGAATATTTTTGGAGACCCTTTTTCTTTTAGGTAGACAGCTTAGACTCCAGAGCCAAACCAGGGGTCTCCTCCTCCTCATCCTCCTCCTCCTCTTCCTTCTTCCTTTCCTCCTCCTCCTCCTCCCCCTCCCCCCTTTCTGTGTTTTTGTTTTTTGTTTTTCCAGACAGGGTTTCTCTGTGTAGCTTTGGAGCCTGTCCTATAACTCACATTGAAGACTAGGTTGGCCTCAAACTCACAGAGATCTGCTGTCTCTGCCTCCTGAGTGCTAAGATAAAAGGTGTATGCCACCACCATCCAGCTTTGTAACTGTTTCTGTCTCATGCCTCCCCTGCAGACCACAGTCCCCAGCTCACCCTCTGAGGAGTTTCACAGCTGTGATCATGATATCTCCCATGCCCTCCACCTTCCAATCATAGTTTGTCTCTAGGTTAAGACTCTCAAGACAGTTTGAGCAGTTCAGCTTGAATCATCAGGCAACTCAAGGTCCAGCCAACTGCTGAAGGGTTCACAGCTGGTCTCCAAATGTGGTCATGATCGTCTCTCATTTTGGGGCTTGTCTGCATATCTGTCAACATACATAAAAGCATGGGTTCCTCTCATCCCTGTTAGCAAACGTCCAAGTGTCCATTTCCTCCCCCTTTGATTCTCAGCAGACATTGTGACATTAACCAGCAGAACAACAAAGGAGTGAGGCATTTGGGGGCTTCCCAACTGCAGCTTCAAAAACAGCAGTTCTTACTTCTCCTACTAGGAAGCCAGTGGCCTCTCTGACTTAAGAAAAGCACAATTCAGGGCTGGAAAGATGGCTCAGCAGTTAAGAGCTCTAGTTGCTCTTCTAGACAACCTGGGTTCAATTCCAAGCACCCAAGGCAGTTCACAACTGTCTATAACTGTAGTTCTGTGGGAAATGTTGTTCTCTTCTGGTGGGCAGACATACAATGCAGACAAAAAAATTCATATACATAAAATAAGGAAAGAAAGAAGAAAAAGAAAAAGAAAAAAAAAGAGAAAAAAAAGAAGAAAAGTAAAATTCAGGCTAGATGATTGAATCCAGAGAGGCTACGTGCAGGAGAGACAGACCCTGTGGGGAGAGCACTCATTTAGAATGTTCCAGCTTCAGACATGAATAGCAGAAAATAGAAGCATGAACTTTAGCCTGTCAACCTCAATAGCATGATAAATGATCACTACCTTTGAAGCTACTTACATCTTCCAAAAGATGAGTGGAACATAGGCTAAAGGTATCATGTTTCTAACATCAGGTATTAGTGATTCCCAAAGGGGTTTCTCCCAGTCTCCCCAGAGATGTGTATCTCTGAGACTATGATAGAGCAATGCTCTCTTTTTGGCAGTGGGAATCGACAGTAGTAGTAACTGGAAGCCATTGTCTTTGAAAACCAAGCTATTTTGGCAGCTATCTTCTGACAGGATTTTATTTTTCCTCTGGAGGGGTAGTCAAAAGGCCACTCTCCACCATCTACATATGTTTCAGTGCAAACAACCAGAATCTCTTGGTTTGTCCTAACTACAGTCCTGGCCTGGAGTAGGGTCAGTCCAATGGGACATAGCAATAAGGTACCACAGGGCTATGATAGCCTCTGCTATATATGGGTCCCTGATCCACCAAAATGAGGACCTTGGTCCCTCAGAATGACATATAGCCAAGCTCTCCTTGAATATAAGGCTGTAGGTGTGACCATGTTTCTCTTATCTGGCTCCAGGGTGAGTCCTACAGTTGCTGGGTCTTCTCCATATTCCTGGGCTTTGTAGAGGGACCTCTTTCGGGGTCCATAAGTGGTCAAATGTGGCCAAAAGGGCCTGATCTCTATTAATCACAGGAGCCTCTAAGGTTCTATGCCTCAGGAAGAGGTAATACAAGTCCACTAGATGTGTGTTTGTGTGTGTGTGTGTGTGTGTGTGTGTGTGTGTATTTGCTAATTTTGAGGCAAGGGTCTCATGTATCCCAGGCCAGCCTTGATCTTGCTACATAACCAAGGATAACTTTAAACTTCTAATCCTCATGCTCCACCGCCCAAGTGCTGGGGTTTCAAGACTGCCACCACATCAAGTTTGTACGGTACTGGAAATGAAGCCCCCTCACCCCCGTTTGTGTGAGTTAAGATAGCACTTCAACTGAGCCACATCTCTAGGAGCACTCTAGCAGGAAAGCTGCCAGTCAGTAGGGGCCTGCAGACTCTTCAAGGAAGACCTTCTGTGATGGCTCTTCTTGGTTGTAAACTTGACTACATCTGGAATTAACTAAAACCCCCAAAATAGAGGACAAACCTGTGAGGAATTTCTGCTTAATTTGAAATGGGAAGGTCCACTTCTTTTTTGTTTGTTTGTTTGTTTTTTGAGACAGGGTTTCTCTGTGTAGTTTTGGAGCCTATCCTGGCACTCGGTCTGGAGACCAGGCTGGCCTCGAACTCACAGAGATCTGCTGGCCTCTGCCTCCCGAGTGCTGGGATTAAAGGCGTGCGCCACCAACGCCCTGCGGGAAGGTCCACTTCTAATCTGGATCTTTGAGGCAGGAAGACATCTTTATTCCAGATTTATAATCCGGATGTAATCTGTGCCATGCTTTCTGCTGGAAGCTTATAAAAGGACATGGAAGAGGGAAGCTTTTGCTTTTTGCCTGTTTGCTCTCACCTTGCTAGGAAGACCATTCCCTCACTGACATTAGAGCCTATTTCTTCAGGATTCCAGTGTATACTGATGACCAGATGAAACATCCAGCCTCGTGGACTGAGCAACTACTGGATTCTTGGACTTTCCATTTATAGCCAGTCATTGTTGGACTAGCTAGACCACAACCTGTAAATCATTCTAATAAACCCCATTTCTATACATATAGTAAGGAGATTCAATCTGCAAGTTTGGTTATTCCCGAGAACCCTGATTAATACCCCTTTCTTACCAAGAACTGTTGCTGGACAGTTATGTTGATCCTGAAGCCTCCAACCCACAACATGGCCAACTAACAACCACCATATGGCCTGGAATGAAAACTCAGTCTCAGGAATTAGAGAGCGCAAAGCACATTAGAAAGAAAGAGAGCCTTGCAAGTGTCAGAAGAGTGTGGCTGAATTCTTCCATAGCTTCAAGATGAGGTTGGAGCATATGAAGGAAGTTCCCTCCCAAAGCAGACATTGTGGCTACCAGAAAGGTGCAGATCCCAAAACCTTGGCTCAGGGTGCCAAAGGTATGAAGAAAGGATAGACATACAGACACACATACAATGAAGCTGGGGTTCTCTACCTGCCACAGCTGGGAACCTAAGCATGTTTATTATGTACCACACAGTGGGAAGGATTAGACAGTCTGGGTAGGGGGGTTTTGTAAGTAAGCTGCCTCAGGTTGTAACCATCTGGGAGGATGCCACAGTTGCTAGTATTTACACACAGATTAATCATGAACAGTCTGTATTCGTCAGGGATATTTAGAGTCACAGAACTTATGGAATGAACCTCAATCTCTCTCTCTCTCTCTCTCTCTCTCTCTCTCTCTCTCTCTCTCTCTCCCCCACCCCCCCCCCAACACCCCCCACCACCACCACACCACACACACACACACACACCAGCTACAATGAGACACCTAGAAGTCCTGAAAGGGCTCGATGAGCCAGAAAGTTGCAGAGTAGGGTATAGAAAAGAGGCAGGAAATAACAATGCAGCTCTGGAGGCTGGCTGTCACCAGGTGTTGTACAACACTGCCCTCTAAGCATGGCAGCCATTATTGTCTTCTTCAGAGCATCTGTGGCCATGTACAAGGCCCCTCAAGACTGGGCCCATTGACATCCCCATATAGAAGTAGAGGGAACTTTCATCTGGTAAAACAGCCACTCCTTCCTATACTTCTTTCCCAGTTGTTATTCTGCCCAAGGGGACGTGGTCTCCTGGTCTCTGAAAAATGCTAGAACAGCAGTTCTCAACCAGTAGGTCATGGCCCTTTTGGGGGTTGAATGACCCTTTCACAGGGGTTGCCTAAGACCATCTGAATATCAGATATTTGCATTATGATTCATAACAGTAGCAAAATTAGTTATGAAATGGCAACAAAAATAATTTTATGATGGTGGTGTCACCACAGCATGAGGTGTAGGGCTATAGTATTAAGAAGGTTGACTACCACGGTTCTAGAGTCTTTACAGTGTGGAAGAAGTACAGCCTAGGAGGGTGGGGGGGTCTGTCTATGCACCTCTGGTTACGTCAATATGCAAACTGGGGTAAGACTTTTTGTTGATAGAGCTGTTTGGGGGGGGTGGGAAGTCACGCACTCCTCATTCATCCATTCTCCTGAAAACCCAATAAAATCATTGGTTCACCAAGTTGGACCTTGCTGAAATCATTCCTTTGGTGTGTCATTAGTGCCCGGTTTTGTATCCTAAGGAAAACTTTGTGTAACATCAGGGCTGGCTCATCCTGTTCGAGGTGCTGTTCGAGGACAGGCATCCAGGTACACGGAAAGATAACCACCAGGCAGGACCAAACAGCAGTGTCCATCAACGTGTAATTTATTCCTGTTTGTCTCTGGCTCCTTGGAAAACAGCAGAACTCTTGTTGAGAACTCGGTTGTCTGACTCTTACTCAGGACAGGGGCTGCCTGGGGGGCCAGCTACTGGGATAGGGCAGGAGGAGGCAAGGACTAGAGCACTCTGTGTGGCTTACAGGGGTCTCATGGGGACTCACTGGGTCTCATTATAGTGGACTCATTCATTAAGTCCTCCAACTCAGGCTCAGGCAGGCTAGTGAGGGTGAGCTCACCCGCAAAGGTATCACTGATTTCATCTTCCTCACTTCCTCTGTCCTCCTGCTCCTGCTCCTGCTCCTCTTCCTCTTCTTCCTCCTCCTCACCGCCCTCACCCTCTTCCATATTTTCTATATCCTTGGACTTGGAGGATATGGTGCCCATACCAGCACTGGGCACTGAAGGGCTCCTGGGCATCTGTTCCTGGCCTACACCAGGATCCTGAGGGTTGAGCAGCTGGTGGATTGGCAACTCATGGCGGAGGGAGAAGGGGGGCTCTATACTCTGGTCCTGATTGGTGTTACCAGTATGCTCTGGTTGCACAGAGTGGGATTCTGTGCTAGGCCGAGAGGTGCCAGCACGGGAGACATTATGATGGGAGGCTCCTGGCCTGGAGGCACGGTGTATGGCCTGCCGTGCCAATTCAGCTTCTTCCAACTTTCGCAGAAGACAGGTCCAGTTGATGTCTGAGGACAGACGGATGTGGGTGCCCTTCACCTTCTTGAAGCCCAGAAAGATGTCCATGAGAACCTCAGTGACAGGAAAGGAGACGAAGCCAAGTTGACTATTGAGGCTTTCCTCAAACTTGTACTTGGAGATAAGCAAGGAGATTGCCTGCTCAATCAAAAAGTTAGTGAGTTCCTCAAACCAGGGGTTAGAGATGTAGGACAAGCTAGACACAGATGAGATGGACGGCAGAGGTTTCTTCTTCGGAAGCTTGGTGCTGGGGCTCTGTGCAACAAGCAAGGAGGAAAAAGGAGACATTTAGCTCTTGCTGCTGCCATTCCTCCTGCTGCCCTGTGAAAGTGCATTGTTATACCCTCCTTGGCAGCTGTACCAATCCTCCCCATTACAGACAGGGAAGCCACACACATTGCACTGGGATACAGACCTGCCACACCTGCTCTGCCACAACAGTCATTCCACAGGCCTCACCTGTCAGGTCTAGAGCAAAGCCTGCCAGCCTGGCCAGCCTGTGCTCCTGCAAGCTTGTGTGCAGAAGGAATTACATTTGAGCCCTGATGATGGTAGGTTCAGAGATGTCCATGACCTCCAAGGGTCAGGCCACCTATGTCTTCATACACATTTCCTGACCAATGTCCCCTTTACCGAGCAGAAAGACTAGTCATCGCTGGATTAGGATAGCTTGACCTGGCTTGACCCTAGAATAGAGTGGTGCTCTTGGCAAAGGTTCCTGTCCATAAGAGACATGTGGGAGAGACTCTGAGATTCACAAACAAAGCCAGGTGGTGTCGGCGCATGCCTTTAATCCCAGCACTTGATAGGCAGAGGCAGGGGAATCTTTGAGTCCATAGGTCAGTCTGGTCTACAGAGCAAATTCCAGGACAGCCAGTGCTACACAGAGAAACCCTGTTTTGGGTAGTTCAAACAATAATTTTTAAAAAATACCCAAATTGCAGGCATGGTGATGCATGCCTGTAATCCCAGCATTTGGGAAGTAAAGGCAAGGATATAATGAATTTGAGAGAGCATCCTGGACTACATGACATCCTGTCTCAGAAAAAAAAATTGAAGGGTAAAAATAGCCTTTATTAATCTTTGACATCCCCTGGGGAAATAGGTAGACTAGGCTTCTCCATCCCCAGAAGCTTGTATCTACTCCAGGAGATTTCTGCAATGCAAGGCAAGAGATCTTGCCCTTGGGCATCAACCAATGACAATGGCTACTAGATGTGGTGGGAAAAGGAGCCATTTCCCTGCAAATGTCCCTCTAAGACCTCCAGCCCTACTCTTGCAGCCAGCTCTGGACACATTGTAGTAGAATAAGGGGAGAAGCAGAATGGGGAGAACATAGGAAAATGGGTATGGGAGGGAAGAAGGCTGTGGGAGGCAAGACAATGCTGGATCGGGGGCCTGAGATGGCCCTGGCAGGAGGCCATCTCCACTCTAATACCAGGGTCAGGCAGGGTGAGGTGCAGGCCATGACGAGGATGAGGTAGCTGATTGTACCTTGGGGCCAAAGTTGATTTCTGTAATTTGGGATCAGAGTCAGGGAACTCCTGCATGGAGTGGAATGAGGGGCTAGGGACATTAGGCACCTGTGCAGGTGTCACCTTGAGCCTGAATTTGGTAGTCATCTGGGCATTAGACATGGAGGGGGAGTCCCGTCTGCCCTTGCTTTTCCTGCGAGATGTCTTAGGGCTGGAGACTGTGGTGGGAGAATCAGAAGGCTCCTCCCCATCCCTGCTGTTGGGTTTGGACTCGTTCTGCTGCAGAAGATCATAGTCCCCAGGCATCACTGGGGTGGGATCTGAGTCAACAGGGAAGAGGGGGAAGCCATTATGGCGGCAGGCATGGCTGAGCTTGTCTACCGCCTGGCTGACTACACGCTGCAGGGCAGGAAAGAGACGATGCTCAGCCAGGAAGTCCAGGGTACGATGGGGCTCCCTGAGTGAACAATACACAGGCAGGTTGAACGATGCTGGCTGGTTCAGCAGTGACTTTATCTCCTTGGTCAACTCTTCTTTGAGGAAAATCATCTCCTGTTCTCCAAGTCCCAATGTTTCAGGGGTGGCTGAGTTGGAGCCCAAAAGCCCAGAGAACCAAGACAGGGGCTGCTCTCGGGTCCACTGACTGCTGGTCTGGCTGTCCAGTGAATCCCACGGTAGAGAATCCCTCTGGGGGCAGGAATGATTCAGGCCTTTCTGCAAAAGAGAGGGGAAGGCTGAGGTGTTCAGCCAGGTATAACCCTAGCCCTAAGCTCAGGCCCACCCTATGCTAGCCTTAGCCATGGCAACAGATCTCACCCCTTTGTTCTCAAGTCGCAGTAGCCTCTTGAGGTTTTTCTCAAGCAGGAGTTTGTCCCTCATAGGTGGCAGTGAGCCTATGCCACGGGGACCAGGAGCAGTGTCCTGGTTATGGGAGCCCAGCCAGCCAGCTGAAATGCTGCTGTGGGAGTCGGACATGGAGCTGGAGCAAGATGGGTAATTGTTTGGGTGCCCAGCACACAGCGTGGGCCGAGCATGGTGTCGATGCACAGTGCGTCTGGCACGAGTCCGCCTATCACTTGGCGCCTCCAGCGGGTCTTGTATGTCCACCAGTGGCACTCCGGCCTCCGTCTTGGTGGCAGCCAAATGCTCTGTTGCCTTCTCCACCACTGTCTGCAAGCTGTCCAGTACCTGACCCTCTGTCAGGAAATCCAGGAAGGTGCCAAACACCTGAGGGGGCCTAAGATTTTGCTGTTGGCCCTGGTGTTCTGAGTATCGGTACATTGATGGTAGGTGCGGCACATGTCCAGACTTGAAGGTTGGCTCCCTTCCTGGCAACCGGTGCTTCTTGGGCAGCTGCATCTGAACAGACAGGCTTGTCATAGCAGGCAGGATGCTCTGCAAGGGGTAGGGGCTATCTCTGGAGTGCCCCTAGGGTGCTATTGAGGGCTGGGTGGGTTTGAGCAATGGAAAAGACTTTTTCCTTTTTTTAAGTTTGTTGGTGCTGGGGGTTGAACCCAGGGTCTTGAACATGCTCTGCAAATGTTCAACCACTGAATTGCATTTAAACATTTTTAACATTTACTTGTGGCTATGTGTGTACGTGTGTGGGTATATGTGTGCCTCAGTGGACAGTGGAGGTTAAAGGACAACTGGTTGTAATTGGTTCTCTCCTACTCATGTGGATCTTGAGGATTCACTCAGCCCATCAGCCTTGAGACCAAATGCCTTCACTTACTGAGACATCTTACCAGCTCTGAATTACACTAAAAGTCAGGTAATCCTGGGTTTGAATTCCAGCTCTGCTACCTTCAGGCTGGGTGATAGTGCTCAGAGCAGCCCTTCTTCGGGACTTCTTTGCAAAGTAGGATATTACTAAAGTTGGCCTGAAGGTCCCCAATCCTATATTTCATATATGCTAGGCCTATCTGGGAGCCTGAAAATGGAAACCTGTGTTCATGGTATGAAAGGGCAATTGTGAGAACCATCTTCCCTCTCTGCCTCCTCCTGCCTCTAGTACAAATTTGCACTGTCTTCTCTGCTCTGCTACCTTGAGGACTTGAAACTGCTTTTCCACCTTGAGTCCCCAAACTGACTCCATGCTCCTTCTCAGGGCTCCTAGCCCACCCAAGAACTACCTGAGGGCCAAGGAGAATAGGGTGTGAAAGAATGATCAGGGCGTAGCAAGATGGCTTAAGGGGAGTCAAAGCTACAACAAGGGTGTCTCCAGCTGACCCAGTGAGATCAACTGGAAATGAGAAAGCAGTGGAAAGTGGCCCAGACACTAATGTCGGGTCAGCTAGACATACTTACCCGAGCCATGTAGGCGTTGTGACCACCTTCATCGTCAGCCAGATATCCTGCCTGGTGGTTGTGGTGGTGGTTGTGGTGGTGGTGGTGGTGGTGGTACCTTGCCATGATGTGGGTAATTAAATTTGTGTTTTGCTTCCTTTCTCAGGTTCCACAGCACAGATGCAGACTCCTCTGAATAGGGCGGGGAGGGGTAGTAAAGGTAGATCCGGGCCTCCATGGGTCCCTCACTCCTGTACCCTATGTCCTTCAGACATCCCACCCTTCCCCTGCTGGGACCCACCAAACATCTGCGGACAGTCCCAAGTGGTTGCCTTCAGTTTGCAACTGTCTGGGACGGGGGTGGGGGTGGGGTGTCCAAAATTCCTTCTTTCAGACCAGAGGCGCCCTGGAGCTCCAACCTGCTTACCAGAGTCTTCTCTGTGCGTGCTTCTCGGGGTTCACTGGGTCAGCAGCACCCTATTAAGGACTGCCGCACAGTGCCCTGGAATGCCACTCCCCCGCACAGCCTCTCAGCGAGCTCATTTACATACTTTGTTCTGATTGGTCAGAATCTTGTCTCTCGTTCATTATCTTCCCACAATGGTTTGGGGTGGGGCCCACATTGGCTCCTCCCCAACCTGGCTGGCTTTTTCTGTCACGCAGGCTAAGCAGTGCTTGGGGATCTTTAGAGGTCTGACTTACTCTGCCAAGAGGTCTGAATCTGGGTCTTGTTTCTCTAATCCTCAGGGTGAAAGTCATAGCCTCCACTTATGCCACAAACACCTTTCTCAGCTCATCCCTGGTCGCTGCACAGACTTGGACCTACGACTCTGTTGGCCTCCTTCCAGGGTTTCTTTCATCCAGTGTAGACTAGCCAGCATCTTCCTTCTGAGACTTTCTTTTTGGAAGCCGTGAAGAGTCCCGGTTTTCCACACAGACCTAGCTTCACTTCCTGTCCCTGTTTTATGGTATTGTTTTTGCTGATATGATTCAGCCTCTCAATACTGTCTCTAAACTGAGCTGAGCATCCTTCCACAGATGAGTATTACATTATGTATATGTATATTGGTTTTTTTGAGACAGGATTTCTCTTTGTAGTCCTGGCTGTCCTAGAACTCACTCTGTAGACCAGGCTGGCCTTGATCTCAGAGATCTGCCTGCCTCTGCCTCCTGAGTGCTGGGATTAAAGGTTCGACACTACCACCCAGCTACATAAAATATTCTTTCAATACACATTGCACCTTATGGAAACTCCATATAAACTTACCTCTACCTTTTTCTTTCCTCCTTCATTCTAGAAGCTTGTCATTCCCAACAGATTCACAAACCTGTCCCCCACTGACACATTGTTTCTTTCTTGTCTAACTGCTGGTACTTTCTTAGTGCAGGAATCAAAGCAGTGAGCCCTAATTTCTAATGACCCTGTTCCTGATACAATATGTGCTTAGTAGTTTCCTCTTCTCCATCTGTGGTTTCAGGGCCCAGGCCCTCAAGGTCTCTGGCCTTTCCAAGAGCAGTCTCCCAGAGGGACACAGTGGCTGGATGACACCTGATGGTTCAACAGTCACCATGACTGGACACAGCAGTGTTACACCAGGAACTTGGCTGAAGGGTTCTCTGAGGCCTCCAACCCTTACAAAGCATCATCAGGTACTGTTAATGATTAAACTGTACTCTTTCCCCTCTGCCTGTGATCCAGGGGGTCAGTCAGGATGGAGGGAACCAGAATAGGTCAGGCTCCAACCTGTAGAGAAGTTCCTGCTTTACTTCTCTGGTGAATCTTCCACTGCCTTGGCTATGAAACAAACAAAATTACCAATATCACAGGCTTGACCCACGTAACACAGGTTCTACAAGGAGAAACCAAGACAGGCTGGCAGAGTGCTTGCCTAACATGTATGAAGTCTTGGGTTTAGTTCCCTGCACCACATAAACCAGAAGCTACTTGAATGAATAGTGAGGTCAGCCTGGGATACATAAAACTTCCAAAACAATATCAAGACAGCCACATTACCAAGCAAACACTGGCAGTCACCATGGTGACTATTGGTAAGTCATGGGTAAGAAAACTTTACTGGGAGCTGGACATTGGTGGCACACACCTTTAATCCCAGCACTCGGGAGGCAGAGGCAGGTGCATCTCTGTGAGTTCGAGGCCAACCTGGTCTACAGAGTAAGTTCTAGGAGAAGAAGAAGAAGAAGAAGAAGAAGAAGAAGAAGAAGAAGAAGAAACTACTTTACTACTTTACTGGGCAAAGAGCAAAAGTGAGGCAAAAGTTACCTGAAGCTCAGGGTGGAAATGGGCTAACACTTTCTCCAGTGTGGCCACTGGTTTGCATGATTATTTTCTTATTATGTAGAGCTTTTAGGGCCAGGCAGTGGTGGTGCATGCTGAAGCTGAGGCAGATGGAAGGCCAGCCTGGAATACAGAGTGAGTTCCAGGACATCCAGTGTCACACAGAGAAACCCTGTCTCAGGAAGAAAAAAAAAATAGAACTTGTACTAAGAAAAAGCCTCCCCTTAGAAACAGTGAGGAACAAACTATTTGAAACAAATATAAAACACCTAATAAGAGGGGCTCATAGGCACTACATAAAAACAAAGAAAGCAACACTGCAAGAATGAAATAACCTGGCATCCCTGAGTGATGGAGAAGAGTAGGTGTGTGTTTCTTTTCATAGAGAAAATAATAGAAGGATGGTACAATGCCCAGAAACTTAGCAACAGTAAACACTGGGAAGAGTAAGGGAATCTCTCTTGAGTATTTCTATTGTTTCGACATTTAAAAAATTACTTTTCAAAAATCAAATTTTGGGGGGGCTGGAGAGATGGCTCAGCGGTTAAGAGCACTGACTGCTCTTCCAGAGGACCTGAGTTCAATTCCTGGCAACCACAAGGTGGCTCACAACCACCTTGAATGAGATCTGGTGCCCTCTGCTGGCCTGCAGGCAGAAGACTGTATATGTAATAAATAAAATCTTAAAAAAAAAATCAAAAAAAAATTTTGTGTGTGTGTGAGTTAGAGATAGTTCAGTGGTAAAAAGAGCTTATTGCTCTTGCAAAGGACTGGAGTTCGGGTCTCAGCATGTGTTCACATGGTGGATCACAGACATCTGTTAACTACAGTTCCAGAGGATCCTATGGACTTGTCTGGCCTTAGAGGAGTGAGAGAATGAGAGCGGGAGGGAGGAGAGGGGAGAGAGAGAGAGCCAGGGAGGGTGGAGGGAGGAGAGGGGAGAGAGAGACAGATAGAGAGGAGAGAGGCAGGGAGGGGGGAGGGAGGAGAGACGCTAAAATAAAAAATGAAATTTGCATTACAATTGATCCGGGCGTTTACAGGATGCTCCGAGACCTCTCTAGGTGGCAAAAACAATAGCGGCGTGCAGTCGCATTAAGGCGTGTGCGTCGGGGTGGGGCCTCGGCAGCGTTCAAGGGCGGGGTCTGTATGCTGCAGCCCATTCCCTCTGGTCTCCAGCCAGCGTTTGTTTGGCAGCCATGGCTTGGCCCCGTGTGCGACTGGTTGTCACCGCTGATGACTTTGGTTACTGCCCGCGGCGCGATAAGGGCATCGTGGAGGCCTTCCTGGCAGGCACTGTGACCAGCGTGTCACTGCTGGTGAACGGCACAGCCGCAGAGAGTGCGGCCGAACTGGCCCTCAGGTGAGGGCGGCCCCCTGCAGGACCCGGCGGG